ATTTCCGGTTCTACTATTCTTCTTAGTCAAAAAGTATGAACGCGGCTTAATCCGCGTTCATAGTTTGCGAATCGTAGAACCCGCGATTTAAGTGAACGGATCAGACTGAGAGTCGAATGGCTTCTACACGAAGGCTCCCCTGATTTGTGTGTTCTGATGGAGATTAGCTAGATCGATTCACTCCTTTGCGTCAACTTACCAATCACGGTTTATCCAAGGTCGCTTCTTCTATACACTCGCGAACTATAAGATGGCGTTTATCTGTTTTGCCTAACTCATTTCCAATTTTCAGGGATCTGATGGAATGGGGGCCGGACACTTGGCGGCCATATGGACAATGGGCTAATGAGGGGCCATTACGGAATCCAACATGGCGCAACGGTCCAGACGGCTTCCACTCATCGTTTTTGCATTCTAGGTTAGTCAATCTAATCACATCATTTGCGTGGACACTCTTATTCCTTCTTCCTCGAGAATCCTCGAGAAGGTGGACACTGGTCGAGACCTGTGATGGATGACATTAGGACAAGGAGATCCCGAGGTAGAAAGATTACGATGAGACAGCTTCGAAATCTGAATCCTCATGGATATTTGCACTGCTCTGCATTCCTGATGCACTTCCGAAACAAAAGTCTCGCCGGAAAAAATAGTCTAGGAATCTAGAGTGAGCGCATCAGGCTGGGGAGTGCTATAGTCATGGCTGAATCTTCCCCACAAAGGTAAGCATTTGCAGGAGCGGAAATTGTAGGAAGGCCTCAGGAAAAGATCGCTGTTTCTGTTTTTGTAATCACCTGTCCTTGTCAGGCGGAGGAGCTGTACGGCATGTGGCTCGCCTGCCAGCCCTGCGACTCGGGGATCAGATTCAAGACCGACTTTCTCCTTAGGCGAATCAAACCTATCCTCCGAAGACTATCAGTTGGTACCAGATTCGTGTTGCAGGAAAAAAAAACACTGATCATCGGCTGGCCTCGCAAGTCATTTCATAAGCCACATAGCATCCAATAATCCACTACGAATTTGAATGGAAGTAGAATTCGTGCCGCATCCCAGTAAAGAAGTCGATGAAAGGCTAAGGCTTCATCATCCTTTGATCTTATCACCTGTCAGTGCTCTTATCCTCCCATCGAATCCGTTATCAACTAAACAATCTCTGAAGGGTAGAAGGCTTGTCCTGGGCGGGAGCCGATCCGGGATTTGACCCTGAACTGCAGCGTGGTAAGCAAGCCCATCGCCACTACACCACCTCCGCCTCGAATCAAACTTACCAGAAGGAATTGTGGTTACCTAGGCAAAAGGGTGGCGCCTATCTGGGCTTTCCCCCATATGGTCGACAGCGAGGTCACGCTCAACGTATATTATGCCACTATAGTCACCAAGTATACCGGTGATTATAAATGGCTATCTATATTACTTCAGAGAAATATGCGCGTTGTACTGAGTTACCAGACAAGGAACATTCATTAAGTTTAAATAACTTCGCTATTATTTATAGGAGTGGCTACGAACTACGCAGGTCATCATATCATCCTCATCCATATGATCGCCCGAATTTCTACAACCCGTCATTTGCAACACCACGCGCAGGTACGTCTGTTGTCTACAATGTGAAAAAAGGGTTTGGGTGATTACTCGCGTTATAGGGCTCTTGTCAGCCAGACAAGCTCTCGCAGCCAGGGTTCAGACAGATGTTCTGATAGCATCTTCAGGTAGTGCAGTTGAAGGGAGACGGAGTGGAAGGAGTGAAGAGAGAAGGAAGGAAGGACAAGAAGAACCGAGGAAGAAAAAATGGCGGAGGGGAGCGGCTTAGCGGTTGACAAGTAATCTGAGATGGACTACTCAGACTTCCATGGTACACTGTAGCGCAGATGAGTAGAAGGCGATCGTCGCGCGAACATTGGAACGTGTTCAAAATCTTACATTTCATGTATGATGCACACTTACCCTCGAATCCTCTTCCCTTGTGAAACCCTATCGCGGGTTCGTATGTGAGGTCACAGCGGTCATAGGTGAGCGGAGGCAGAGCAGAAAGTTGATCAGAGCATACCATCGTTGGGGATTTCCCATCAGGGGTGTAATTTGGTCGCTGGGGTGGGGGTCGTATTACGCCTGAAAATCTTAATTTTTCTTGTTTCACGGACACTAAGTGGGATCGTATTTGCTCGTTGTTGGGAGAGGGAGAGGTTGGGGTCGTACTTGCCTTTTGAGAGAAATTTCCAGCGTTGGGAAAAATTTTTCCCGGTGGTTGACTTTTCCCGGTTTTTCCTGTTTCACATGTACTAGATACACTACGCTCCATAGCTCGATAATATCAGAGGGATCTAGGGAAACCGCATTCGGCTTTTTTTGGAAGGGTACCAAATTCAGATGATAAGAACATTAGCAGTACTGTGATATCGGTTGGCGCGTAGTCCTCCTCTTCCCTTATCCCGTGAATCACGAACTTGTGAAAAGGCAGAGTAACGAGAAGTACTCTGAAGAGCGATGCTGAAAGGGGTCGTATAAGAGACCCAAATTCGGTCGTCACCTCATTTAATCTTGTTTTGACCAGCGTGGTGTTCTGTACAATGAATCATTATTCAGACATTCCCTATCATCGGCCTCTTCGGGCCGACTTTCGTGAAGCTCGATCTACTATAAACAGAGGCCTATTTGCTGATTTTTCTGAAAATACGCCGCCGAATCCTCTCATTCTGAGTTGCGAGATTAGTGCTCAAAAAGTGGATATCAGTTGGAAGCCTCCTACCCATCAGAGTAAGTTTTGCAGAGGCTACTGCCAGATCGCTGGAAAGTTGTTTGCGGGAAGCTGGTGCTTCAACTGATAAATTGCAGAAAATATTCGATATCTGTTGGAATGTACCGATAAAGAATCTGGAAGAAAATGGGTCTTTGATCAGTCGTGGACCCAAACTCAGAGAGAGCTGAAGACAACTCCGGGCAATACATATTGGTGACTTCCAACCACATGCTGTTGTCTTTTATTTTTATCCCCAAATGACCCTTTCTCCTTAATCCAGCATTCGGCTAGAATGCGAAAGTCTCGCTGATCAAAG